GTTTCATTTCCAGAGCAAGAGGAACATTAACAGGCGGAGGAGGACGCTTGCACACAGCTAGTGTTAACCGCGATTTATCAGCACAGTTTGGGAACTTTGTTCTAAAGTGAGTGGGGGATTGTGGGAAATGGCTGAGCGGGTGCTGCCCTATTTCGTCGGCATTGTCAAAAGAGGATTGAGTTTCACCTACATGCCGGAACTATGTGTGTGTGTGGCTCATAATCTCTCTGAGAAAGGCCCATATTTCTCCTTCTCTACTAAAAGACGGATGAGTCAGCCGAGCAGAAAGGCAGTGGAGAGTCATGTGGAGTGGAGTCTGTGGCTGATAATTGTGGATACTGCATGCTGCTGTTAACTCAACAGCATTAAAATGTAAAGATTTTCTTTAGGATTTGTTTTTCTCCTTACACAGTTTCCCCCACAACCTTTATTTTCCATCATGTGAGCTAAGGAGTGCGTTTGTGCACAGTTCACCAAAAAAAAAAAAAGCGCAAGAAGCTGCAGCTCAGTGTCAGGAGGAGCATGTAGACGGTGGCAGAGTCTATAAATAGATCTGCACCAAGGAGGACAAACTTCCTTTAACCCTGCATTCATACAGCATTATTTATTGACTCTTATTTATTTTTCACCACAAGTTGGGACTTTTTTCCCCATAACCAGTGGCAGGTCTAAAGCTAAGCAGAGTTTAAATTAATTTAAAAAAAAAACATGTACAATCTTGTGCAATAACTGTTGTATAAACCTTTAAACCACTTAGCATTGCATCAAGCCTCGCTTTAGTGGGACTGTTTATTTCTCGCCAGACTAGCTAATCTCGACTAGCCGCTAATTACTAGCAGCAGGTTTGAAGCTACAATCAAGAGTTTTCCACCTTTCAGGGATTATGTATGATTATTTTTTAAATTTGATATAAAGTAGGAAATACATTTTTTTTTTTTTTGCTAAGCCTGCTTCCGGTCTCATAGAGCCTCATGCAATTTAATTGATTTCCGCTTAGCATTAGCCGATAGCCTTAGACAACCGCGTACGCAAAGATGACAATTACAGAGCACGTTTGAGCACCTACCTAGAATGATACAGAATTGCCGACATTTCAAGTAAGTCTTTAAATACATGTTTATGTGTGAATACACAGCATAATGTCAGAATAATAATTTTATCACAATGTGTTTTAGCTCTGTTGGCTAGCTGGGGGTAAGTGTTCACAAGCGAGAGGTGTTGCTTCCAGCTGTCACGTCAGAATGGAAGGGTACATTTGTCCACCTTTAGATAGTGCCCTCTCAGAAAAACCATTTTTCAAACCACTGTGGTTTATGGAAACCATGTCTTACAAACACTTGAAGTTATTATTTATTAAAGTTATAATTTATAATCAGTGATCTCAGCAAAAGAATCCCAATATTCCTGCAGGAAGAACCTCGATCAGCGCCAGAGGTGCTAAAGCTAGCAGCTGCTTATAAAGAATTATAAAACATTCTATATGAACAAAGATTTGACAACATATGTATCTGCTAATAAAGTAGTGTTACCTTGAACTGTTTTCAAATTATTCCTCTTTTTAGAATACCGTAGTTTCAAATTGCAGCATTACCAATCAGAACTAGTCTAAATTTATTCAGATTAATGTTGTTTACAAGGAACTTTATGACCAGCATGATATTTATTGTTTGGACTACAACATATCTTAAGTTGAACCAAGCTGTTGGTTTAAAGTGACACTGAGCAGTTGTTATACATTGACCAATTCCTTTAAAAGTGGGGTTCAATGGTTGTGTAGGTTGCAGCTTTACCAACTTATCATGAGACAGCACTCTGCTGCCATCTGCTGACCAGAAACAGCACTTAACAGTTTTGTAGAGTGAGTAGGTGCCCTAGGGGGCATTGTTTAGCTATTTTCTGTGCCAAGTAGCTAATAAAAGTTTAGCATTTAGCCTTTTCAATTTGCTGACATCACCAAAAAAAACACAAGAAGAAGTAAAAGAGTTTGCTTTTTTGTTGCCATCATGGCGGAACCTGGAAATAAAAGTGAGAGTAATGTCTTTGGAGACAAAGCAAAGAGCTAAAACCAGAGTGAACATCAGCACAGCCTATACACTCTTTTAAGGAAGCTGAAGGAGGAAATGAAATCAGAGGCTGATGGTGACCTGGCTTTGTTGCTGCTAGACTTGTAAGTAATATTATATTTTTTCCAACAGTTTGGATCTTTTTAATTCTTGTCTTATTTAGTAAGACTTGGCTCATGTTAGTGTTAGCTTGTTGTTAACTAGCTACAGCAGGCTGCTACAGGGTTGTTTATGACAGTTGTAATTCTGCTTTCAACCAGACGAAAATGAGGTAATATGTCACCACTTGGTAATGATCTGAGCAAACAATGCATACCACAATACAGGGAAGACGATAAGATATGTTGCGATACTAAGAGCCAGGTGATGTTTCATATTTTTGAGATTGAATTTAATCGGAAAACTCAGGTCAGATGCTTCCAAGACCCATCCAGTGTCATCGCAAAATCTCGTTGTTCCGTCACAAGAAGACGGTAAAAACTGCTGCCACCTCGGAGTCTGAATTGCAACACACAAAAGAAATATATTAACTGTTTAATTGTAAATCCTCAATTAAAAAACAATAAACTGCTTTTAAATATTGATCTAGTATCATAGCACAAAATATCACATTTTTCAATGATGTGATGTCTTATTACATCTCATTATCACCTAGCCTGGCAAGCTATCTTATATTTGTGAATATATATTCTGGCCACAGTCCATTAATGGCTCTCAGTTGTGGGGAGGGATCTGTCGTTGTCTTGGATAACAAACAACGTGACGTACTCACCACTACGGATGCCAGTCAATGAGGCAGTCCACCATATCCCGTCAAAGAAGATGCAAAAACACCATTTTTCAAAATAAACTTAAATACTTCTATCTGCTCTTGATTCAGAGGAAAGCTGAAGTCCAAAAAGTCCTAAGTTGATGTCAAAATAGTTTCAAATGAGCCGTTGCCATTTTTTTTCAATAACGTCCCACCCACCAAAAGAGTGCTGTGATTGGCCCACTAGGGATGTCTGACAACAGAGCAGTTTGCCAATACATTGTGGAAGAAGACATAAAACATAAAAATACATAAAACAATAGATACATTTTCTAAATAGCACACTGTGATTGGCCAGCCACAAAACTGGCTTGGGCTGTGGAGGTTCCAATGGAGTGTGCCTAGGCCAACATACAAAGCAATCATTTAGCTTCGGTAAATGACGGTGATTCTGTGCTAATTTTACAACCCGATGTTGATTCGAACATTTTTGTTTTAATTTGTTAATTACAAAATTGTATAAATACCATTATTGATACAATATCTGATTTCAGGTTTTTAACTTTTTGATAAATTTTTGCTTGAAAACTTTCACAAGTATTTTTTAAAGTGTATTGGGTATATATGGCAAAACGACACCTTCCTCCATTTAGCACTTCATTCAGCTAACATTTTGAAGACAGTCAGTACTTAAAGATTTCAGCAACTATTTAAAACAAGAAAGTTCTCTTCAATATTTTAACCACTTTTGTCTTAGATCAAACTAATTTATTTTGTGTGTGTGAGATTTGGCTCCTTTTTGTTTACTTCTCCTTGATGGTCATCATCGGGATTCTGAATCTGACTTCACATTCAAACAAGATGGTACGTCCCATACAAGCCACTGAACACAGTAACTCAATGATAATCTGGTAACACGGAAACTCTAATTTCCCTCTGGGATTAATAAAGTATTATTGAATTGAATTGAATTGAATTGGACTGTGATCACCATCAGTGTGTGTGTATGTGTGTGTGAATGGATGAATGATACTCTGTAGTGTAAAGCGCTTTGGAGTCCTTACTCTGAGAGGCGCTATACAAGTGCGGGTCATTTATCATTTATCGAGTAGACTATAGTGCGTGAGATTCCCTGTGGTTAGCATTAGCTTCCTCTAGTGTTTTACAATTAGTGTGATAGGAGTGTATGAGCAGATGCAAAGGTGAGGATCTACTGTCAGATAGTTTGGCAGAGGAAGAGGTGGGGCTAATTTGCATCATCATGTCAAATCAGGCAAAAGTATTTACATACATGTTATCTATTTTAAGTTATGATTTGATTATTTTTCTCCAAAATATTTTTATACATGATGACCTGTTACGGTTTTGTTTAATTGAACAACCAACCATGTGTCACTTTGGACACGATTACATAAAAAAAAGCACAAATAATCAACTCAAGATGGAAAGATTGAGCCAAAATTCCAACAACAAAGAGCAGAAAGTCAGTGCAGCCTCGTGTCTTTGGCCCCTGGTGGATACTAATGTTCCCCGCTAAATCTGTTCAGCCACTCTGATTGGCTAGCTAGGCTGCTTTCAATCCAGATGTTCACGGATTGGATTATGGTATTATCACTTGTGTTGCTGAACTGGAGTATTGCTTTTCTGCTCTCTCCTTTAATCATGCAGATGCTTTTGGAGTTACTCGTAGACATTTCTTTCTTCTTTGAGGACTAGATGATTATTTTGCAGGTGTCCTCTTGTTAGAATGATAAATGGCTAAAAAGTTATACCGTTTCTCAATAAGGTGATGCTAATGCCTCTTTTGGCCGAGCACTGAAAAGGAATGAATGAATGGTTGCAGGAGATTGGAGGAGAGGCCACATACCATAATTAAAACTATCCCTTAAGCTGAGGTGTTGCCAGGCAGTGTGACTCCTGCACACACAGGTCCAGTCTCATATTAATGTTGTTTACATGTAATCAAATGTAGCATTTTTTTAATATGTCAGCAACGTTTGGCAACGTGTCAGAAGTAATCCGAGCAGCGGGTTTCTAATGTGTGTTTGTTCACTTGCAAATTCATTAATACAGACCAGAGTCCCGGTTGGACAGTATCTCAGCAGGTTTCCATGGTTACCGCCTCACCGTCATCATCACCCTATCAGATATTTTGTTTAGTTGCTTTGCAAAGTAAGGAAGCAGCATCAGATCAGCACTCTTGTTTATTCATCATGAAGAGGCTGGAGCAGCTCCTCTGATCTCCACCAAAAACGCTGCTTTGATGTAAGAAGAAGTCGTCATGCACTCCGGTTCCCAGCAGGACTCATCACTGCATGTTGATCTTCCAACATCTCGTGCAGATTCCCTGCGTGTATGAGAACATTCGAGTTACCATCATTTGCATGAGAGGTGGCTCGTGCTTCTTAGGTTCAGGTTAAAAGAGTTTGCATTTGTTTTTTGTTTATTTTTTTGCCTGTGTGAGAGGGGATGTGTGTGTTTTTGCATATTTGTGTAGCCGTGGAGTACCATGTGCTGTTTGGAGCAGCACTTTTACGTGTGTGTGTGTGTGTGTGTGTGTGTGTGTGTGTGTGTGTGTGTGTGTGTGTGTGTGTGTGTGTGTGTGTGTGTGTGTGTGTGTGTGTGTGTGTGTGTGTGTGTGTGTGTGTGTGTGTGTGTGTGTTTCTAGGCAGGTAGGTTTAGGTGACATTGTTTAATTGGTATGGCTTGGCTTAGGGGGAATTTGAGAAACCTATTTTTTCTGTTTCATTTATTTAGCAATTTTTCTAAATACGGTAAACATCAATCCTATTGAAGTAAGTTGTTCAGTAATATTTTTGATATTATACAAAAACACTTTCGTAATAGAACAGTTTATTTATTATGATTATGATTATTATTATTGTTGTTGTTGTTGTTGTTGTTATTGTTATAATAATAATATTAATAGTAATCATCATCATCATCATCATTATTATTATTATTATGGTGATTATGATTATGATGATGATTATGGTTATTATTATTATTATTATTACTGTAGTTATTACTGTTATTTATTTTTTAATTATTCCTGACTCCAACCCGGCTCGTCATCTTAGATATATGTGCTCCTGTTTCGTTGCCTGAGCTAGCCAAACTAGTTAACTCTATGAAGACCTCTGCATGCCCCCTCAACATATTAAGCCTGAGTCATGCTTCTCCGTCAGCTCCAACAGGGAGAGACGCGCACGCACGGAGCTGTTTAGCCCTCATACTTCGTCTCCTGGGGAGCATTGCAAAGCAATTCCTTGCCAGGACAACAGAGGGCGCTGTTCTGTGGTGTCCCGTCATGTATCCGGTCCACAATAGTGTGTGTATATTGTGATTTTGGAATATGAGAGACTTTTTAACATGGTCAAATTTGTCTCTCATTCTCCTCCACCTCTTTATGCGCTCGCCACCTCTAAACCCATGTTTACTGTCATTTCCGTCCACAAATACTTGCTGCGTATCTTTTCACTCCTCCAGTCACGGGGGAAATAAATGTTCATATTTTCAGAGTTTTGTCACGAGGATTTCTTCAACCTTCTCCGTGTCTGCCACTAGTTATCCTCTGCTCTCTTTATGTTTTTGAGGGCACAATGGTGGCGGTGTAGACGACAGCAGTACCCTGACCAATCACAAGCTTGCATTCTCCGTCTCAATGGACAGATGTTGGGCTCGACTCCGTCAGTCCTTGCGGGGCTCTCCAGCAGGCCCGCAAGGATGGATAATGGCGTTGCGTGTCTCCGCACTGACGCAGACGCAGAAGCATGAATCAGGCTTTACCCTCATCTTTGTTTAAAAATGTTTTTCAACACATCGGTCCCAGCGGGTTCTTTATAATTAATGCTTCTCTGGTTTCTGGTCGGGTCTCTGCTTACTTTAAAGAGTAACTAAACCCCAAAATAACATTTTTTTGCTAATTGATTGTATGATTGGGTCTTTACTAAAGCAATCTTTCTGTTTCTGTGCATTTTTTTGACATGTTCTGGAACTGTTGACAGTCCTGGACCCCCCCCCCCCCCCCCTCCCCCCCCATGCACCTTGGGGGGTTCCAGGACTCTAGAAGGCGCTATATTAAATACAGGCCATTTACCATGTTTGTGTAAACTTGATTAAATCTAGAATCTAGGTCTAAAAATGTCTTAGTGCTGTCACCTGTGACAGAAGAGTGGCTACTGCATTTTAAATTTATGATTGACTGGGGCTGGTACAATTTCACCTCATAAGTACAGTCTCCTCCCACTCCCCCTCCCTACCAGGATGGAAATTCCCCACACTTGGCCATGCTATTCTGTGCCTCCTGGCAACGCCCACTTTCCTAGCATTTTTCAAATCTTGACTTGGGGTGGAGTTACATTTTCTGATGGGGTGTGTTCCCTCTTTAAGAACGCTGTAATCCACCCACTCGACCCAGTCAGGTTTTCGTAGAGCTCATTCTACTGAAACAGCTCCTCTTGGAGTCTCTAATGACCTTCTGACTCACAGTGATGCAGGGGACTGTTTTGTTCTGGGCCTGCTGGACCTGACTGCAGCCTTTGACACTGTTGCGCACCACCTGCTACTGGAGAGGCTGAGAGACTGGGTAGGCCTATCAGGATCTGCTCTGGAGTGGTTCTCGTCTTATCTTTCTGAGTGCTCCTTCTCTGTGGCCATCTCCAAGTTTTGGTCCTCCACCACCTCCCTTACCCATAGCGTTCCACAAGGTTCTCTGCTGGGGCCTCTACTCTTCCTCCTCTATCTGCTTCCTCTTCAGCACATCCTGAGATCTTTTAAAGGAATCTTGAACCATCTTTATGCAGATGACATCCAACTGTATGTTTCCTTTAAGTCCCATGAGATGTCTAAGCTGCAGCTGTTACACACCTGCTTAGAATCTATTAAAACCTGGATGGCTGGGAGCTTTCTTCAGCTGAATGAAGATTAGACTGAGATCCTCATCTGTGCCCCAGACAAGCTGGTTCCCAAAGTCAGAGACTCTCTTGGTCAGCTTGCTTCTCACACCAAACCCTTCGACAGGAATCATGGTGTGGCCTTTGACCCAGCTCTCACCCTGGATTCTCATGTCAGTTCTCTTGTTCGCTCTTCCTTCTTCCATCTCAGGAACATTGCTAAACTGAGTCCCATTCTGTCCCTCTCTGAACTTGAGACTGTTTTCCACACCTTCATCTCCTCACGCTTAGACTACTGTAGCTCTCTTTTCACGTGTCTGAGCAGAACCTCCCTGAACCGTCTACAGGTGGTTCAGAATGCCTGTGCTCGGCTTCTGACTAAGTCTTCCAAACACACCCACATCACCCCGCTTCTCCTCCAGCTTCATTAGCTGCCAGTCAACTTCAGGGTTCATTTCAAGATCCTGGTTCTGGTCTACAGGGCCTTACATGGACAAGCACCATCTTACATTGGTGATCTTCTTAGTCCCTACACCCCCAGCAGGTCCCTGAGGTCCAGTGATCAAAGCCTACTGGTTGTGCAGCACCAGGCTAAAGACCAAAGGTGACAGATCATTTGCTGCTGTGGCCCCCAGACTCTGGAACTCTCTCCCCCTGAGCCTGAGTTCAGTGGACTCAGTGGTCTCCTTTAAAAAGCAGCTGAAAACTCACCTGTTCAAGCTGGCTTTTGCGTGACCTTTGTCACCACTCTCTTCTTATTCTGCTCTTTCTTCTTATTCCACCTTTCCAGGGATCTGCTGAATTCCCTCGTTCCTATTCTTTTTCTCTCTCCCTTTCCTTACATTTTTTAATCAGCTGGATGATAAATGAAACACACTCAGTCACCTGAAAAGAAAGCACCTGTGTGTTTAGAAGCTTCCAAACACTCGTGGAAGTTGGCTGTGCTGCAGATTGTATCACCGTTTTACCCCCTACCCCTAATGTGGCTTTAGCTGCGTCAGCTGTGGCTAAGTTTCACTAGCATTGCTGACACACAAGGAAAGTCTAACCTGTAAAGTTTCTGGGCAGAGGCCAGTGGAGGTCTGGGTGGAAGGCTCTCAGGTAGAGAGAGCTGCTGGGAGATTAGGTCTGTTTGTAATCCACAGCCACAGCACAGTTTAGGGATTTACTTAGTTTAATCAGAACTGATTCTTTCTATTCTGAAATGTAGTCGGTGTTTGGAAGCCAAGCCAGCCTCTGGATTGTGTGTAAGCAGCATCAAAATCCAAAACACTGGAATCGTGATGGGACTGAGTATTGTAATATCATCATACTTATAGTAATGTTGGATTGCTGTGTGGGTATTTGAGTTATAAAAAGGACCAAATATTAAGTTGGAGATGAGTGATACTTGAAACCTAAATCTCTATATCCCCTTATCCCCATTATCTGTTTATTTATGGAGTTGATTGCAGTTATTTTGCTCATAAATGTTATTATGAAATTTGACAGTAACATAAAGCAGTTTCCTGCTCCTCCGCCCCACTGGTTGAAAGTGGAGTTACAACTTGTAAACAAACCTGCTACAGTCTGCTATAGCTAGCGCTATCAACGAGCTAACACTAACATGAGCCAACAAAGACTAAAATAAACCAACTGTGACAACACTTAACAGAAGCTAGTGAAATAGAAGGATCCTTATTCTCAATGCGATGTCCAACTAGTGGTCAAAAAAGCTCAGGAGCGCCTCCAATTCCTAGCCTAGTGAACTAGACCAAATTCTTTCTTTGCAATGTTTGGTCTAGGCACGCTCCATTGGAATCTCCGCAGCTCCTACCAGGACTCTGGCTAGCCAATCACAGCTCTCTAGAGGGGTTTCAAACACATAAAGAGCTGTGATTGGTCCATAATGGTGGGCCAATCATAGTGCTCTATCTGCTTAGTGAACAAATCACAGAGCTTTAGCGGCTTTGTGGGCCAATCAGGGCACTCTATATGCCTGGTGGGTGGGATGATGCAACAGAGTGAAACAAGAGTATGTCACATTCATTGTCCAGTGGAATGCGGAGATCATTTGAAAGACAACGGTAGAACCCGCCCCACAACCGATAGCCGTCAATGGAGCGTTGCCTTACTAAATAATACATTTATTTAGTCTGGCTTGCCAGGCTATCCAATTCCTTCACCACCTTAGAAATCAATTTCTAAGTGGTTAATCAATTTCCCTCTGGGATTACTAAAGTCTTTTTGAATTGAATTGAACAACCAGAGCACCAGCCCCCATGATGACCACTGCCAAAATGCGTGTGGCACCACCCAAAGCATTCTGGACAACTGCCTCACTGCGTGGTACGGAAGCTGCACTGCATCCTGTCAGAAGTCCATGCAGTGCAAAGAGAGAGTTGCTGAAAAGATCATTGGTGCCCCCCTTCCCTCCCTACAGGACATGTAACTAACCAGCAGGACTTGCAAGGCAATTAGCATTGTGGGTAGTGTTGTCAAAAAAATCGATACCTAGAAATAAATCGATGCTAAAAGTGGTATCTAAATTAGATATTCCATCCCTGTGGTATCGATATTATGGACTATTATACACAGCCTTCTTCAAGTACACCGACACGCACGACAGCAAGATGCCGTAAAGCAACCTCCGCCTCCCAGACAAACAGAAGAAGAAGACGCCGCATGGCTACATTGCAATTTCCCACGCAAGTTGTCTCCGATCCAAGTTTTGTCTGCCAAATAAATAAACAAAAACGTAAACAGCGAATTTGGGAGGCGTTTCACAGCCCAACTTAATTAGCATACCAAGTCCGACACGTAGTTGTATATTCACGCTTATGTGCTGAAAGGAAACTCCCGTTTATTGCAACCCGGACTTAATTTCTAGCATGCAGTACGTTTGTTTACTCACGCTGACAACTTTGGTGCTACTTGGATTCCCCGGGGTATTTAGAGCCATCGGCGAATCGCCATCAGTGTATATCTATATAACGGGTGCAGACGGGCACCCGTGGCGCAGCCTCGAAATAAGACCTTATCTGCACCAAAACATCTCAATGTCGAAAGGTTTTGTTAGGAATCATTAACATGATTCCCCTGTTCGTTTGGAGCGAGTCTGGGATTTCTAGGCGTGAACAGACTAGCCGCGGCTAATCTAACCTGCGCTTTTAATGACGTCACTGCCGTGCGCCAATCTGTTTTTATTAAGATTACTGGTAGATGTACCTTTGTCCTACTGTGGAGAAATTCGTTTTCTCCCTTTATTGACCAACAGAGTTGTTCAAAAGTACAGAACAAAACATATGGCATTACATCTTATGACAAAAATGCTACTTAAACAGAGTTTAAGCAGCAAAACGTCACTCTGCAAATATTGTATATATATATATATATATATATATATATATATAGTGAGACAATTCATGATTTAAAGTGTTAACTTTCGCCAGTTTTTGTATGCACGTTTTAAAAAATGCTGATACTTGAAAGGTTTAAGCACTTTACACACTTAATTATAAACATTTAATTTTTGCAATATAAACTGAGGAATGTTATTTTTTGAATAAACTTGTTCAATAAATTGGTGTTTTTAAATAGTATCGAAATCGAGTATCGAGTTTTTTTTTTCCAGTATCAAATCGAGTTTGAAATTTTAGTATCGTGACAACCCTAATTGTGGGTGACTCCAGCCTTTGATTCTGGAATGCCTTTTCTCATCGTTGTTTCGTAACTGGCCTTCACACGGTCTTCGAAGAATGCAGCCCCTGAATATGAGCACAGCCTTATATTAACTATTGTTTGTCTTCGTCTTCGTCTTCGTCTTCGTCTTCCTCCGCTTATCCGGGTCCGGGTCGCGGGGGCAGCATCCCAATTAGGGAGCTCCAGGCCGTCCTCTCCCCGGCCTTGTCCACCAGCTCCTCCGGCAGGACCCCAAGGCGTTCCTGGACCAGATTGGAGATGTAACCTCTCCAACGTGTCCTGGGTCGACCCGGGGGCCTTCTGCCGGCAGGACATGCCCGAAACACCTCCCCGGGGAGGCGTCCAGGAGGCATCCTGACCAGATGCCCAAACCACCTCAACTGGCTCCTTTCGATCCGGAGGAGCAGCGGTTCTACTCCGAGTCCCTCCCGAATGTCCGAGCTCCTCACCCTATCTCTAAGGCTGAGCCCGGCCACCCTACGGAGGAAACTCATTTCGGCCGCTTGTATCCGCGATCTCGTTCTTTGGTCATTACCCAAAGCTCATGACCATAGGTGAGGATTGGGACGTAGATCGACCGGTAAATCGAGAGCCTGGCTTTCTGGCTCAGCTCCCTCTTCCCCACGACAGATCGGCTCAGCGTCCGCATCACTGCAGACGCCGAACCAATCCGCCTGTCGATCTCCCGATCCCTCCTACCCTCACTCGTGAACAAGACCCCGAGATACTTAAACTCCTCCACTTGAGGTAGGACCTCTCCCCCGACCCGGAGGTGGCAAGCCACCCTTTTCCGGTCGAGAACCATGGTCTCAGATTTGGAGGTGCTGATCCTCATCCCAGCCGCTTCACATTCGGCCGCGAACCTACCCAGCAAGAGCTGAAGGTCAGAGCTGGATGAAGCTAGGAGGACCACATCATCCGCAAAAAGCAGAGACGAGATTCTCCTGCCACCAAACTCGACACACTCCACACCACGGCTGCGTCTAGAAATTCTGTCCATAAAAGTGATGAACAGAACCGGTGACAAAGGGCAGCCCTGGCGGAGTCCAACCCTCACTGGGAACAGGTCCGACTTACTACCGGCTATGCGGACCAAACTCACGCTCCTCTGGTAAAGGGACTGAATGGCCCTTAACAGAAAGCCACCCACCCCATACTCCTGGAGCGTCCCCCACAGGGTGCCCCTGGGGACACGGTCATAAGCCTTCTCCAAATCCACAAAGCACATGTGGATTGGTTGGGCAAACTCCCATGCCCCCTCCATCACCCTTGCAAGGGTATAGAGCTGGTCCACAGTTCCACGGCCAGGACGAAAACCACATTGCTCCTCCTCTATCTGAGATTCAACTATCGATCGGACCCTCCTCTCCAGTACCTTGGCGTAGACCTTTCCAGGGAGGCTGAGGAGTGTGATCCCCCTATAGTTGGAACACACCCTCAGGTCACCCTTCTTAAAGATGGGGACCACCACCCCGGTCTGCCACTCCCTAGGAACTGCCCCCGATGACCACGCAATGTTGTAGAGACGTGTCAACCATGACAGCCCTACAACATCCATAGCCTTGAGATACCCAGGACGAACCTCATCCGCCCCCGGGGCTCCGCCGCTGTGTAGTTGTTTGACTACCTCAGCAACTTCTGCCCCCGAGATCGGACAGTCCATCCCCAGGCCTCCCAGCTCTGGTTCCTCCTCGGAATGCGCATTGGTGGGATTGAGGAGCTCCTCAAAGTATTCCTTCCACCGTCCGACTATAGCCTCAGTTGACGTCAGCAGCTCCCCATCCCCACTGTAAACAGTGTGAGCGAGTTGCTGCCTTCCTCTCCTGAGGCGCCGGACAGTTTGCCAGAACCTCTTTGGAGCCGATCGATAGTCTTTCTCCATGGCCTCACCAAACTCCTCCCACGCCCGAGATTTTGCCTCGGCAACTGCCACTGCTGCACCCCGCTTGCCTATCCGGTACCTGTCTGCTGCCTCCGGAGACCCACAGACCAGCCACGCCCTGTAGGCCTCCTTCTTCAGCCTGACGGCTCCCCGAACCTCTGGTGTCCACCAGCGGGTACGGGGGTTGCCACCACGACTGGCACCGGCCACCTTACGACCACAGCTAGCAACAGCCGCCTCGACAATCGCAGAGTGGAACAAGGCCCACTCGGACTCAATGTCCCCCACTGCTCTCGGGACGTGGTCAAAGCTCTGCCGGAGGTGGGAGTTGAAGACCGTCTTGACAGGTTCTTCTGCCAGGCGTTCCCAGCAGACCCTCACTATGCGTTTGGGTCTGCCAGGTCTACGCGGCATGTTCCCTTGCCATCTGATCCAACTCACCACCAGGTGGTGATCAGTTGACAGCTCCGCCCCTCTCTTCACTCGGGTGTCCAAAACATACGGCCGCAGGTCAGATGATACGACTACAAAATCTATCATCGACCTGTGACCTAGGCTGCCCTGGTACCAAGTGTACCGGTGGGCATCCTTATGTTCGAACATGGTGTTCGTTATGGCCAAACTGCGGCTTGCACAGAAGTCCAATAATGAAACACCGCTCGAGTTCAGATTAGGTGGGCCGTTCCTCCCAATCACACCCCTCCAGGTCAAGCTGTCATTGCCCACGTGAGCATTGAAGTCCCCCAGCAGGACAATGGAGTCCCCTGATGGAGCACTATCTAGCACTCGTCCCAGGGACTCCAAAAAGGTGGGTACTCTGAACTGATATTTGGCCCATAAGCACAAACAACAGTCAGGACCCGTTCCCCGACCCGAAGGCGCAAGGAAGCTACCCTCTTGTCCCCCGGGGTAAACCCCAACACACAGGCAGAGAGTCTCGGGGCTAACAAAAAGCCAACCCCAGCCCTCCGCCTCTCACCCGGAGCAACTCCAGCAAAGTAGAGTGTCCAACCCCTCTCCAGGTCTCGGGTTCCAGAGCCAATGCAATGTGTCGAGGTGAGTCCGACTATATCTAGCCGGTACCGCTCAACCTCTGCCACAAGCTCCGGCTCCTTCCCCGCCAGCGAGGTGACGTTCCATGTCCCAAAAACTAGTTTTCTTGTCCGGGGATTGGACCGCCAAGGCTCCCGCCTTGGTCTGCCACCCGATTCGCATTGCACCGGACCCTTCATGTTCCTCCTGCGGGTGGTGGGTCCACAGTTGGACAAGCCCATGTATCCGGTTCGGGCTGGGCACGGCCGGGCCCCATGGGTGAAAGCCCGGCCACCAGGCGCTCGCTCACGGGCCCCAACCCCAGGCCTGGCTCCAGGGTGGGACCCCGGTAACCCTCCGGGCCGGGTACTCCGACTCTTCGTTTTAACCGCCATGAAAGATCCTTCGAACTATTGTTTGTGTTTCAGTCAAATGCTTCCCCCTTTAGCTGCATGTTTTCTCTTCTTTTACCTTCCTTTCAACTAAGCTAATGCTCAATTCAGGAAGATGCCAATGTTGAACTGATTCTCATAGCATTTCTGCAAAGAGAAATGAGTTGCAAACATACTGAGGAGTCGATGATGTTCTGTAGCTTTAAATTTGCTTTTGGTAAATTATATTGAATCTTTCACATGTATGCAGATGTATTCCCATCACGTAGCACATTAGCTTTTTGCTTCTGCATTTAGCGTATCTTGTAACAACCATCTTGTCTCCCATTTATAACCTAATTTGCAGTAGCATTTGTCCCCCACCTTCACTGCCCCCAATAATACCCACACGGTGAGCAAGGAGTAATTCCAGAATAAAGTCAAAACTAGTTTTTACTGGCATTAGACACGCCAGAGTAATTCTGAATTAGCAGCAGCCAGGATTTTAATAACAAGCATGCATCCGTTTATGGTAAGCTGTGTGCTAGTTTGTGCAACTGCTTTGGAACTGGGATTTTTCTTCATATTTTTTGTCTTAATAGAAGGAAAAAATGTAATTTCTAATAAAAGGCAATGTGTTTGTGAAAGACTATGAGCATATTTTGAGTTGCTAAATTGGACATTTTTGACAAAGCGTGTATATGCACCAATTACAAAAGCTGGGACCAACATGAGCGTGATTGAGAAGAAAAGAGAAGGAACTGAAAAGGCTAAGTGAGTAGCTCTAATAGGCTAGAGCTTGGGGAGTGATGGACTCAAGCTTCACTCCAGGGATTCTGCTCACACAGATCACAAAATCAGACATGCAAAATACAAATGCACGCTCCTGCTTTTCAGCGGGAGGCTGAGGATTGGGTAACCTTAAAATGGGATGCACCATGCTGCACAAGAAACTGCGGTTTTAAATTTAACCCTACAGTTAAATTAGAGAGGCTGAAATGCATACTTCAGCCGTTCTAAAGGTCTAAGAGTGTTCAGAGGGGCCGTTTGTCATGGTCTTGTTCCCCCTCTAAATCTGTCAGTCTCCTTTGCCTTTTTTGTCCAATTTCCAACTAATATCTCAAATGCTCTTGTGCAAGAAAAGTGCATCAGCCACACTCAGTTCCAAACACTTCTTCACACTTCTCACAGTAATGAAACAACAGTGGATTGCACACATCATCCCTCACACCGAGCTTCGCCCGTGCCCAGATTGTCTCTTAGTCTTTATTTTGCATTTATGCCAGCAGCTTGGAGCACCTTTGTTGTCGGACTCATCTGACGACCTGCCAGCGTGCACGGATGTGAACAGGTGTTGCTTTATATTCAGAAACAGAGGAGGCTGCTGTCTGGTTGAAAGTTTTTGAAACCTGAAACTTTTCCAAAGGTCGACCGTGGGCTCGCGTTTTTCTGTCACTCTGATTTTTGTTTTGAATCTGATCAATGGTTCACTTCATCATTTGTGCAGGGAATCTGATTATTTCTGTTGCATGATTCAAAAAGCGATTTTTTAAATGCTTAACATGGTCGCACGACCAAACCAAAGCAACAGAGAATTATGATGGACCGTTTGAAGCTTTATTTTACGCATGCAACTCTCATGCAACCTTTGTGTTCGACACATCCGAGTGAGCCGATAGGAGTTTGTGCACTGAGGAACATGATGCAAGTTTTTGTTTAAACTGTGCACATGCAACACGTGAAAAGAACGATTATTTTCATTCCTCCCTTCCTTTCTTTCCACATGTCTGTTTTCTCACCTTCCATTTCACCCTCTTGTCCCAACGCACTATCACACCTCTACACCCATCATTTTCTGCCTGTCACCTCCCACCACCAGACGTCCTGTCTGAGAACAGCCTGCACCACTTCATCTGACTTTACTGAAATCCCTGGGCTTGGCCCACGGGCAAGCTCTACGCAGTCATGCCTTCTTTTCACTCTGCAGCACATTTCACAAAATTCAGAAATAGAGGGTGCATGCATCCCTCCAGCTGCATGTGTGGCAAGTCCAGAGCAGACATGTCGATAGTGTGATGTAACCAGTATGCCTGTAGACTGGGCCGCCTTTGAGCTGCACCAGTCTCCAGAGGCGCGTCACACTCTGTGACGGTTATAAATTCACAAATGTGGACATTTTTCTTGTTTTATCTTCAGCTGCTGCCAAACGGATGCGCTCAGTGCAAGAGTGCAAGAGACTTATTTCTAGGTCCGCTCATACATTTTAATATTTCACTGTCAAAAACAGGACGTCCCATACTGCTCGGACAGAGGAGGGGAGGGGAGGGGATGTGGGCGGATGAGGACCAGAGTCAGTGTGAAGCAGGATTGGAAAAGGAAACAAGAGCATTGATTGAAAGAAAGAAGTAATGTGGAAGGGAAGAGGGATGAGCTGGGTTAATCAGGGCAGCAGCTGTCAATACTGACACTGATGCTTGAATTTTTGCATCTGGATCCTTTCGTTCTTGCTGCGTTGCTCCCCATCTACTCAGAGAACTCATCTTTTTAAATTATTATGTTTTTTGTTGTTTTTTGAAGGATTTTGGCATGAAGACAGGAGCAAAGCTTCCCCCAGATTTTGAGCATTTGCATGTTCACATTATCTCTGAGTGCAGTTTTCAGCTGATTTGTTAAGCTGGTTACCTCTGGCCTCTCACTGTCTTACCAATGCACTTTAGCGGCACTAATGCTAAGCTCAGATTGATCCCAAGCCTTGGTTTTTGGACTTCTGAGCATTTTACAGAAGGTAGATTTTCTTTCCACTGCAACCATTCCACAGCCATTAATTTAAATTTTTTTAATGCTATTTTCTTTTCAGTTTTTATACTTTAATCTACAGTCTCAAAGACCAATTTGTAAATTGTATTAATCTATTATTGGTCTAACTCTTTTTTTGTCCTATGAGATATTTTAGAGCTGATAAATCACATCGTGACAAGTGTGAATAACAGCCTATTTGTGCATTTTTGGCCATTCGGGTCAGGATTTGGACTTGAGATGGAAACAGGAAAGGAATTGTATTTATCCAAATAGGATGGACTGAGTGGTACAATTCAGAGACGAGAAAAGAGAGTAAGAAAGAAGCAATTGTGTCCGTCCTGCTGATGGCAAAGTGTCATAAATGAATGTGGTGGGATGCGAAGTCATCATCAAAATGAAAGGTTCCGATGTGAATATCTGTGTGCATGTGTTTGAAAAGAGAGGCCGTTTTCTTACATCATTTTGATTTCTTTCGTTCCCAGGACGGCCCACGCCAGGACAAAAAGCGAGGCTGCTGAGCAGGCTGCGATCTCCGCTCTGCACGAGTCTGAAATTGCCAGAGCAGTTGCCCGAGAGCTTTCACCTAACTTCTACCAACCAGGTAACTTTCAGCACCAAACCTTCGTGCACAACATGTCACAAGTAACTTGTCATCCAGCAAAAGGCTAAAATCGCATCAGTACATCGCTGGGGGCAGAGAGGCCCAGACCTCCCCCTCCCCAGCCACTCGAGCCAGCTTCTACAGGGGAATCCCAAGTCGTTCCCAGGCCAGCTGAGAAACATAGTCCCTCCAGCGTGTCCTGAATCAGTAAAAGCTGGAGATCATGTTCTGATGAAGCTAACAGGACCACATCATCTGCAAAAAGCAGAGACTCGATCTTTAGGTCACCAAAATGGATCCCCTCAACATACTTGGCTGCACCTAGAAATCCTGTCCATAAAAGTTATTAACAGGATTGGTGACAAAGGGCAGCCTTGGCGGAGTCCATCTCTCACCAGAAATGAGCCAAACCTACTGCCGACAATGCGGACCAAGCTCTGACACCGGTCATACAAGGACCTAACATCCTGCAACAAATGGCCTGGTACTCCATACGCCTGGACTACCCCCCCCCCCACCCCCACCCCCCCCCCCCACCCCCCACCCCCCACACACACACACACACACACACACACACACACAGGGGGGAAAGCTGGTGGCTTTAAAAAAATAATAACAATAATTTCATCGTAGTTCATGTGAATGCTCTTTTTAAAACCTTCACACAGTCATGAGTTCTACATTACTGTGGTATTTCACCAGGATTACTTTAATATTCCTGCCGGATTTATAGGGAGTAGGCTGCACAGGAAATCCTGCAAAGCTACACTTTTGCTAGTTGCAAATAATCACATATGGAAGTTTTATTTTAGTTTAGTTTTGGTAAGAAGTAATCGATGTTTCTGCAGGCTGAGGCTATCTGCAACAACAACACAGTAGCTTTAAGCTGCAGGTGCATGCTGGGGTTAAGGAGGTCAGTGAAACATTATTCTTCACTTGTAGCTAAATTAGTCTCAGCATTGGCCTTAGCAGTGCTTGCGCAAATGTTACACAATGTTCCAGGTATTTCAGACATGGATAACCCAGAGATGGAGTTGCAGTCTTTAGCCTGTTTTTATACATTTGTAAATGAGTGATTCACATCGAACTCATGTATTTATCGAGTCCCTCCTTTACAGGATCCCTATTTTAAGGCTTTAACACCTACAAGCCTCCATTTTGTCCATGAAAACGAGTGATTAGCAAACAAGGGGGATGTTGAGTGTGAATAAAGATGTTTGCACATTAGAGCTGTTCACACTGATTCTAAGTTATTAATGAGCTTGTATTTGGTGCACAAATAAGGAGATTGGTGCTTCAGTTCTGGGATTGAACACTGGAGACGCCAGGGACAATTTGTGATGCCATAATGGAGGGCTTGTGTTTGCTTTAAACAGACGACTGTATTCTGAATGGAGGCTTTTTTTTTTTTCATTTAAAGGCCCGTTGTAGTGAAATACTTGATCAACTCCCCAAGAAAGCATGCAGTTTTGGTCGTTCTGTACTTTAAGTAGTGATGGAGGAAACCTTTAAGCAGTTAGTTTAAATCTTCTGTTTTGAATTTAGACCTTTTAGGACATTTTTCTATCACATTATCCCCAAATACCAAGAAATAGGCTTTTATTTTTGAGTTTAAAAAGAATTAATTGAACTAATTCAATATTGACTTCACTTCTGATTAGTAATTGTGCAGTTCAGAGGTGTCTAAAGGGTAATTCACAAGTCTTTCATGGATCTCAAATTCAATTTGTTTGGCTGTTGACTGACTTCAAGAATGGTCCAAGACTTCTAAACAATGTTTTAACATCATATAGCTATAAATAAATTGTGAAGATTTAAAAAAATGAGAAAAAAAATTAACAAAGTAGTTCTCTCACATTTGTCTAAAAATCTCCCCCATTAACACGTTTTGGACTGAAAGCAACTGTTGGATCGTCCGGTTGTCGGTCTCGCCAAACCACCGCACTTCCCTGGGACCTCCATCCATTAATTGCGTAATTAGCAACAGAACACCACTGGTGTGAAAGGTTCTTCGCTCAATAACATCTGAGAAGCAGAAACAGCCGGCTGCTATAACTTCAACTTTATGACAACCTACCAGAGTCCCAAAATAAAAACACCATTAGAAGTCACGGACATCAAAAGACGTTTGGACCTAGAAAACGGCAACTGGTGTTTAGTTCTATCTCGTTTCATCCAGCATCGTGGGTTTCTGGCGTCGACAGGGAAAATACCCGAGGGGCAGGGTGAGTGATCCATGACCATGTTTGTGCTTAACCCTTTGGTGCATAATGGTCACTACAGTGGACAGGTACTCAAAATTGTTACTTATTTATTTTTGCTATTAAGCACAGCTGTTGAAGACTTCATTGCATTTGAGCCCCTCCATTTGGACTTCAGTTCGTCAAGCCAACATATTTACATGTTCAGACTGCACGCTGTCCTCTGAGGTGGACATGTAATAAATTATTAGTAAATTATTAAATGTTACAAAAAATGTTTGTTGAACTTTATTTCATTCACACCTAAAGATGAATGAAAAATATGTTTAAAAAATCATGGTTGAAGATTTCATAATTCATGCATCAAAGGGTTAAAACCTAGCTTGTTTTGAGATTTATTTACAGCTTTAAAGGGATAATGTGTAGTTTTTATCGTTAATCTCTGGAAATATCCATCAAAAAGTTGTTTAAAGTGAATTAAACGATGCCTAGTTGTTGAGAAATATTGGCAGCTTCTTAACACATAACCATAAAAATCAGGGCTACATTACATGGGAGCGGGTCTGAGGGTGTTTCTCAATGTCAAGGCGCCTGGCCTTGCGAGGCGATGTCTTGCGAGGCCAGGCGCTTTACTTATGAGGACACTGTCATTCCTTGGTCAAAGAAAACGGTTAAATGGAACAGACTTGCATCACATGACCCCGGCTTCCACGGCGGTCACGTAACGTCACGTGACACGGGAGATAACGTTATATTTTATACGTATTAGTTTCAATAAAAATGTATAACAATCCTTTTACCTTTTAAATTGTGTATATGTTTATTAATTAATAAATATAAGTGAGTTACTGCCCGCTAGCCACTGAAGCTGCAACTACAGAGCAACTAATCAACCATAGATAACTTCTTTGGATCTAAAAAAAAAACATTTTTAATTGACTTACTTTTAAACTTGAAATTTGTCCCCAAAGTAGCTGCCGGCTTCTGAGCCGCCGTTCTTTTGAAAATACAGCGGTGTATTCTGGGTAATTTTTGACCAAGGCTAGGCTACAAGACACCTCCCGTGTATCCTCGCTCCGCTAGCTAAACGGCTAACAAACGATGAACACACGCCTCGGTAGAACATGAACATTGGAACACGTCTTGGCGGCTCCCAATGACGTATCTTCTAGGCAACCGGGGCTGGGCCAAGACATCAAGGCAAGGTTCCTTGCCATTGAGAAACACCCCAAGTCTCTGGGCGACACCATATTAGATGCCATGTTTCCTTCTATGGGAGCCCTTGAGGGCAAAATGCGTTTACTTGATTTGTAACAAGCGGTTACTACACTTTCACCATTCGTAACATTTTTTTTTTACACATTTACCTCTTTACTCATTGTCACTGATGAAAGGGAGTCTAATGTGCTTGTCATTTTGCCAAAGTTTGCACTCCCTATAGCTTTTTGACCCTAATGGGCGTCCGTTGGTAAGGTCTTACTCCTACACAAAAATACAGCTTGCTTGCAACAATTTAGGTATCTACTGCCCCCTTTCACCAGGAAAAATACACACTGTCACTTTAAAAAAAATTTAGTCAGTATCTGTAGAATAACATCAATTCAGTTACAGTTACTTTAGAAACAACAGCTTTTCAATTAATTCCAAAATAACAGTATTTTGCCAAAAAATAAAATAAAAAGCATTATTTGAGTTATTTTTTCTCTGTGACTACATGAAAACATTTGTCTCAGCATCTCTTTTGAGATGAATGCATTTACATGCTTTGGTTCTACATTTGCATTAGGCTAAATCATCACAAAAAAAATCATCAAATGCTTAGGCTCCACCCTCAGCAAGGGGGCTAAAAGGGGAGCCAAGTTTGCTGTTAGGGTGGCACTGGCCCACCTTAGACCTCTTCTAGAACCACCCCTGACTATACAGCCACTTGTTAATCAACTGTTGTACTGCTACACCTAAATTTACCAAATTTTCTATTTTATTCTATTTCTAACCAAAAAAAAAAAGAAGATAAATTAAAAAAATATGTAGCTGATGCAAAAAAAAGTTGTGTTATTTTTGGCAGGTTTTAAAAAATTAAGGAATTAAATCATTTTTACATTATTTGTAAACAATAATGATAATAATAATAATAATAATACTTGTGGGCCAGTTTGGCAATTTTAATCAGAGTTTGAAAAAGTTTATTTTTTGCTTTGTTTATTTTTATTTGGCTTGTAAGATCTATGCTATCTGTCTCTTCCACTTGCTGTTATATATTTAGGCCTGTGAGCAAGCAACTTTGTGTCCAGTGCCAAAAGCGACAATAAAATAGTAGGTGACAAACAGATCGACAATGGGATCCATTCAAGCATGTCGCCCAAAGGGCCGGCCAGGGCCGGAGACGTCCCGCGGCTTGTTTGTGTTGTGGAAAACAGTGGTCATGCCTGGCAAGCTGAGTGTTCTCCAGGTTTGTGTGTACTTGTGTGCTCAAAGTGTCCTTGCCTTATAAGTCAGATCATTAATGAGAGAGCGGCCGACGTCATAACAAAGTGTAGTTCCAGGATGACAACTGAGCCGGAACGTTTAAATATTCGGGTTACGTAAGCTTGTCCGTTAAGTCTGACCCAAAGCCCAACAGGCACCTGCAATGGCCACAACTATTCAAAAAATGCTAATTTGTTTTGGTTGGTTTTTCCAGGTATTCAGATTCAGCTGAGAATTAGTGTTTGGTTCATAGTTGATATTTTCAGAGACGTCTGTGTGTGTACAGTTTCCCCAATGATCTGGGTCAAATATCTGTATATTCTCATAGAAAAC